TGTGGCTGGCAGTACAAACAAAGGCAAAAGTTGACAGACTATCGACTTGGAGTTGAGATTGACATTTTATCCACAATCAGGCAGTTCATCCATCCATCTATTTTGTACAGTAGTAAACAACCATTTGAACTGACATTTGCGCTATCACCGAGTGGGAACTGCAGCCATGTTGCTGCATGTAAGTCAGGTGGGTGGGGGACAGAAATTGAAACTTGGACTAGATACTTGACTTGGGTTCTCCCTTCAAGGTGGAAGCGCTGACTTGAATTAACATGCAAGTCGACCACCTATCTCGGACTCAGCATTCTTGATGCAAATGTTTCAAGATGTCTTATCAGCCCCCCCACCCCTGCTTTTGATCTATGCACAAAGAAAAGTCTGTTGGGATACTCCTCTTTCTTCATTCATCAAGCACTACGCAAACACAACAATGAACAGATTACCAATGCATTGCATCAAAGGTGTCTTGACAGGGAGCACATGCTCGAGAACTCTGCGCAGATTTAGGCAACAAAGGGAGTTGGAATGAAATAAAAGCCCCAAACGGCTCCAGGGGGAAGCACCTCTCCTCTCCCTCTGCGCCCTAGACAGATGGAATTTCCTGCAGAGCAGCGCTCTCTTCAAAGACCATGAAGAATGGCTTTATCACACTAGTCAGGCTGCTCGTGTATGTGCATGTTTTTCACATGAATTATGAATTTGTCTCAAATGAAAAGAAAAGGTTAATGAGCCTTCATGTTTCAAGACTTGTGACCAGTCAGCCAGGGCACAAAGGCAGGAGGAAACGCAACAGTGCCACAACTCCAACCTTACACCTGCTGTCTGGATCAAATTCATGGTTTCATCATTGCTTTTGAGAATAGTGGTATTCACCTTTTGCGTGTTACATCACAGTCTTCGTAAGAACACCCCCTCCGCCTTAAAACGGGGTGCAAAATAACTATTTGCATCCGTTGAAACCATTGAAACTCCAGTAAAGCAAGCAATCACATAGTCCTGCGCTTATCTATATAGGCGAAATGGTCAAATCTTGCTGTGCGATCGGATGTACTAATAGACAAGGGTGTAAACCAAAATTGACTTTTTGTAACGTACCTGCTGATGAAGATTAAAGATGGTGATGGATAACAGCGAACAACCGAAAGGACCAGCAGTCCTCAAAGTATTTGAGGGTTTGCACCGATCATTTTTTTTTTTTTTACACGGTTCCTCGATCATTATTCATATATTTCACTCAGAATCATTAAAAAAAGCATGTTGCCGGGCGCGAACATAGGACAGAATTTTTAAAAATAAAATTCCATTAAAAAAAAAAAAATCAGTTAGCAGCATAAGCAAGTTTTACCCAGAAGGTATCATGTCCCCCTCCAGTGTGAGCATCATCCCAGGGACCCAGCCAGCGCCAAAAAAAAAAAAAAAAAAAAAATGAATGTGTCCAGACTGTTACAAGCTTTTAAATCAGCTCCACTGTAAGGTGATACGGCATCGATAACATAACGATAAAGGTCGTGCGTTGTGAATTCCGGCAAAGTCGGCAATTTGATTAAAAGGGTGAACACAGCAGGAAGCAGTTGAAGTGGTGAATGTCATGGCGAGATGGGCAAAAATAACCTATCCAATCACTAAATCGCTCTGTTTTCCATCCACTTCGATTCGGCAATCATGAACTTTTGCAGTCCCTCATGGTGCACACATGTGATCACGTGACGTAGCTGCTAAGGGGTCAATATAATGTTGCCTTTCATGGAGCTGGTATAGGTTTGCTTCCCGGCCACTGGCCTAATGCACAGTCACCGCTGGTCCCAAGTCCACATTTAAAAAACTATGGTTAAGTTGCATCATTAAGGGCACCTGGTGTTAAAAAAAAATAAAAAATTATTAAAAAAACAAAAACAAACTGTGCCTAATGAAGCGGGTCCTCTCATTCACTTTAAAATCGAGGTCAAGACACGCTGATTCACTCGAGTCCCTGCATGGCAGGTAAATTGCAAGATCTCCCCTTGCGGATGATGTAGTCGGTTGCGCATGTGACCTGAGCAACTGGAGAGCGCCTTGCGGCCCAGTGGGGTGCTAGTAAAATATTTCTCGAAATGACAATGGTATGAATTTGTTCAATGTGTTGGCTTCTGCAATGATTCAGAGGGATCCAAGCTGTTGTCATATTTATGAGACCGAAATACGATACATACAATACAATACAATACAATACAATACATCCTGATTTATATAGTGCTTTCACAACAGCTGCAGCTGTAACTAAGCACTTAACAAAGCAGTTAAATTAAAGTAAAATAATAAACACAACACATAACATAAAACACGGACAGTCGTGCAGTCCTAACCACTTTTCCCTCACACGCTTTGTTGTTTAAAGCAGTTTGAGATGAAAGAGCAGAGAATCAAAGTGTCCTTTCACCAGTGGATCAGAGACGTCATGCTCAGAATGTACACACGTCGGCTACAAGCTAAGTTTCAAAGTCAACAAGAAGCTGTAGCATCCATTGACGAAAAAAAGAGATTGGTTCACTTCTCCTGTCCCGTGTAAATCCACTTCAATTCCAAGCGGCGACTCTCAGTTCCAAATACACATTTGCGCTCCGCGCCGACGCTCCTCTCTCCTCATCCTCAACTTCAGCAGCCATCTATCCAGCCGCACCAACGCAGACTGTCCAACAGCGCCGACATCTCCACTGAACAAAACGGGGCTGTGAAAATGCTGCCCATAGGCGCAAAAAACACAAGCGCCCCGGGGCTGTCCAGCACCGATAATCAAATGGCGCCGACATTCCTCCCAATCAAAATCAGTGCTGGTCCAGGCGTGCTGCCGAGAAGGCGCAACCACCAAGCACTGATTCTCCTCCTTTGACGAATGTTGTGGCCAAAAAAACGTTGAAAACAGTCCACATCAGGTCCACACGACGAAACAACAAACACCATGTGACAAAGCAAAAGACAAGAACAACAAAAAATATCAAAAAAAGCAAGGCTCTAGAAGAGCACTTGCCGACGGCTGCCTACTCGGACGCCATCTTGGAAAAAAAAACGGCATGAACGATGGCATGAACCACACACGTCCGTGGAGGTCAGAAGCCTGCGACTCCTTTCAATTCACCAAAATCGCATTACACCACCTACGCCACCATCTAGACCTGTTTTTAAAAAGCTAGTCTAAATTGTAGTCTACCTTTGATGAACAAATTGCCAGATGCGCTGGGAGTGTGCAGTTAAATAGACTGTAATGGCTAGCGAGGCGTAGCGTCATCTACCAAATTCACAAACATCTAAACTAGATTTGCCCTGGCATGAAAATGAAAATGCTCATGTTTCTATGCTGAGTGCAGTCCAATTCCTGGGGACATGCCAGCTCTGTCCGCCAGATCGCCCAGTGAGGCACAACAACATCCCAAATATGGTAAAGTAGACTTGCCACGGCACAAAGCCATTTTTTATGCCAAGCACATGGGGGGCCTGTCTACGAAAATATCTCCCTATAACTTTACACTAGAAATGTTCAAAAAACATTCCCATACCTAACAGCTTTTTGCTTTTCAAATACCATCTGGCCCTAAGTAGTTTTTGAGTCGTGCTGGTAGCAAATAAAGGAACAAACAAACAGTCTATAACCAAATGGAGAAACATCATTCCCCAGTTGTATCAATGGTATAATTAGGAGGGGAGAAAAAAAAACTTCATGAATTATTGAAACACCAATTAAAAGCCACCAATTTCACCCTTGACTTCATTTCTGAAGTGAATGTTCATCCACTCACTCAAACACTTCCGTGCTCAGTCCAAGAGGAGATGTTGTGTGTCACTGTTCCAAAACAACAACCATCTGTCAAGCTTGAGCTCAGTGGCTCGACCACCTTTTCCACCCTCAGAGATGCCGGACTTCCACAAAGACTGTTGAAACAAACAAACAAACAAAAAATGTTGTTTGTTTGTGTTGAGCGATCTCTAAATAATGTGCAAAAAGCAGGGCGGCTGCGCTTTTCCGGCTGCTATTGTTGCCATTTAGTCTTGTAGTTTACTCTAGCGCTGGCATTTCTCTTTTCAGTCACGTGCGCAGCGTAGTCGTCTACTCTCCACAACTGCTTAATTATACAGAACTTCACTATCAAGCGGAGGAGCCAAACATAGAAAAAATGAAAAAGACAGGTGTAAACATTTGCACAAGACCGTCGGGGGCCAAGTCAACTCAGCAGCAAAAAGGCAACATCAGATCAACAAGACTTACAAGTACTCTGAATGTTATCATCCCGCAAATGTACTTTGGTAAATATATTTGTTGTAAGCGTGACAAAGTGCAGCAGAATCCTTGCAAACATCAACGCACTTGTCGTGAAAGAGGCGGGATTTTCACTCAACACAAAGGTTGGGCGGCCAACATCAAATCCGACGACAGTATTTCTAGATCAATGCCATCAATCCAACTTTCATGCCTCGCAGGCTGTTGGATTTCTATCATTCAAATCTGTTTTAATTCAGATTCAGATTCAGAAAACTTTATTTATCCCGTGGGGCAATTAGTTGAATACCATTAAAGAAATAAAAATGATACTTCAATAGTACTGCGGTTGCTCATGATTAAAATGTGTTATTATTATGTTGTTTGATCAATGGCAAGGATAAAAAGGGAAAGGGACTTTAATTATGTGTAACCGAAAATGAAGTACTTTTTTTTTCAGTGTATACTCGAGAATGCTCACCATTTTGATGTGTACACTGAACAAAAGGTTTTGGTTGAATTTTATTTCATCAAATGGTTGCATCCATCCATCCAGGCTCCAGCACGCCTGCGACCCTTGTGAGGGTAAGTAGATCAGAAGATGGATGGATGGAAATCGTCGAATGCATTTTTTTAACTCAACTGCTGCAAATTGTGAGATGCCTAACTGATTTTCATTGCTCCCGTTGCAGTGAAAATAAAGTTTTTTTTCACTCTCAGAAGCAACCAAGAAGATCATCACAATTGGGGGTTTCATCATGTCCAAACTTACCACTTTGAAGTCGTCAGCTCTGCACTCGCTGCCGTGGAAGTGGCAAGAGAGCAGCATGTCGTGGATGTCGTGGCCGGTACGGTCGTAGAATTCCAGCATGTTGAAAGGTCGCGGTTTGAAGTTATGGAAGTCAGATTTGACCTTCAGACTCTCCAAAACGCTCTCCTCCACAAGATGCACATCTCGGATCTCGTACCTAGAAGAGACACGCATTTAAAGATGCAAATCTGGATGATGCCATTTAGCCTGCTCAGACATCAGCCACGTAAATTCAGCCAAGGTAGCAGTAAGGAGTAACAAAAAGGCAGTCTTTTATTCAAGTACTGCAATTTCCTCTGGTTAGAAATTTCTTTTTTCTTTTTTTTGTACACTTCATATTGTTCACTTGCTCCCCATGCAGTTGTCGAGCAGCTCAAGAAAAAAAACATTGCTGGAAATTTGTCAAGCTCATTTCTTCTACAATATCAATCAAAAGTTTAGTTTTCTTCATTCTTTGAACATTTCCTGAATTGTAGATTCATATTTAAGTCATCAACATTATGAAGAATATTATTATTATTATTATTATTATTATAATCCGAACAGAACATTTTATAATTTAGATCCTTCAAAGTAGGCATCTTTTGCCCTGGTAATGGCTTTGCACATCTTGGTGTTTCCTCAACCAACTTTATGATGTGGATGTAATGCCTTATGACCTGGAATTATCTGGAATGACTTTCACATCACAGAGTTCAAGCTTGAACTTCTTGACGCTTTCGTGTGTTTGAGACTTTGTGAATTTGAAGGTGTTTCCAAACTTTTGACTGGAACTGTGCATAATTGATCCATTTAAGATCTTGATGACTTCATAAAAAAGATCCCGAAATTGAGTTTGGTCATGCTTATGGTATATGAGAAGACAAAAGTAAGAGAAAAATCAGCCACACGTGCACAATACACAGTAACGCATTGCATTGATGTCAGAACTACTGTGATATGGCAAAAAAATAAAATGAAAAACAAATATGGACATTTTCTGTTTTCTCAGACTACTCCCCATTTTACAACCTGAGATTTTCAAGTAAATTGCTGCTTTTTGTTGCTCTCCAATGATGGATTGTTTTAGGCTTTTTTTTTTCTGTTCACCTACACTGAAAAAAGGCATCATAGATGTCGACCTTTGATATATTTTGGAACTAATCACAATAAGTCACACATATCACAGTATTGATTCAAGAATTTGGCATTCAGTGGAATGTCTTTGATATTTGTCTTGTGCAAGGCAGCGGGCGCCATTGTCCCGTGTTAAATGCCAGCTCGTAAGTGAGCGAGGGAGCCAAATATCCCACATCACTCTTGGCATTATGCTTAGCCTCAGGAAGTTTCCTTTCATCAAATGGAGCTCATAAATTTCCGACCACGCCGCCATGTATCCAAGGGGAGTTGAATAGCTGCAAATGCATCGGCCGCAGACCTTCACTGTGCGCTTTTGTCCAAACGTGACTCGCCAAAGAGCAGATGACTTTGATTGCATCTGCTTTTGAGTTGTCTCAATTAGTGGGATAATGAGCTGGCATCAGCTTTGCTTTTTAGCCGTGACAAATGTTTTATTACCAGGAAATGTGTGATGGCGAGCCACGTCCAGATCTACAAAAATTGCAGATAGAAGTTGAATGCGCAGTCACCACACTGTGAACATCTCCGCAGTGACAGCTCATTAGTGGCTGACGTCACCTGACGCTCCGAGCTACATCTCTTGCGAATGTATTTCACCTTCATCAGTGAAAACCGGTGGTGGCTCACTTTACGTTTACATGGAATTTAATGCTGTGCTGTACACCAAAAGGACATCAGGCCATTACGCTGAAAAAGGAAGAAAAGATAAGCATTAAGAAAAAAAACCCAGAGCTTCAACATCATCCGCTATTCTGGGAAGACACTCTTGGAGCTGCTGAAGCAGAAGGCCATTGTGAGGTCAAGAGGTCACCGAGGTTTCTCTCTTTTTCAGGACAATCCAAATTGTTCTATTGGCTACGCCCAATGTTTGCGCAATCGCTTTGATTGATTTTTCCCTCTTCTTGCAGCTTCAAAATTGTTTGATTTTCTCCTGCTGCTCCTCTGGTCTTGATGCTTGCTGAACAGCAAACACAGTTTTCACGGGTGAAATCCAAAGCCAAAAACAAACACTGTCTAATATTTAGGCAATCAATCGAAAAGCCAATATCTGAGCAACAAGAATTGATCAACGCATATTGGAAAGTCATTATTTATACATTATAAGTCTTCTTCAGCTCAGTCGCTTCAAAAAATGGTAAGAACATTGTCAATGTAACACAAGTGTATGATGCGGTGGATCAGGCGTCACCGTCGTGGGACTATATGAGTAGTCCGTGGATCATTGTGATTTTCTAGGAAGGTTGTCTCTGTGATCAAATGACAGTGTAAACAATGGTAGATATTTATAGAAGGGAAGTTGTGCATATTGGCCTTTAACTGTTTCCTAATTGTTGTGAGAAGGCATAAACGTGATCCGCGTATTCATATGAACGCCATCCATCCATCCATTTTCTGATCCGCTTATTCTCCCGAGAGTCGCGAGCATGCTGGAGTCCATCCAATCCGTCTTCGGGCAGTAGGCGGGGTACACCCTGAACTAGTTGCCAGCCAATTGCAGGGCACACAGAGATGGACGACCATTCGCGTCCACAGTCACACCAAGGGACAATTTAGAGTCTAGAGTTAACATGCCAGTCATGTTTTTGGAATGTGGGATGAAACTGGAGTACCCGGAGAAAACCGGGTACTCTGGGAAAAACATGCAAACTCCACACAGGAAGTCCAGGATCAGGAATTGAACCCATGACCTCTGCACTGTGAGGTGGACGTGCTAACCAGTTGAAAATTGTGCTGCTTTATAATAATAACAATAATAATAAAAAGAAGAATGACAATAATAAGACGAATAATAGTTATTGTTCTTGTTATTATTATTATTATTTATTATTGCTGTTGTTGTTCCATCCATCCATCCATTTTCAATACCATTTATCCTGAACACTGTCGCAGGTGAGTGCTGGAGACTATCGCAGCTGACTTCAGGTGAAAGGCAGATTACACCCTGTACCGGTCGCCAGTCAGTCGCAGAGCACAGGTAGAGACGAATAACCATTCACACCCACTTACACTATCACTGAGTGGGAACCGATCCCACACTGACTTCTTTTTCTTCTTATTATTATTATTATGAAACTGATGTGGTAGAGCAGGGGTCCCCAACCGCCGGTCCGCGGACCGGTACCGGTCCGCAGGGCATTTGGTACCGGGCCGCACAGAAAGAACTTGCCTTATTTCCGTTTTATTTATTTCGGAATACGAAATGTGTTTTATTTTGAAAAATTGCCGGATTCTCTGTTACATCCGTCTGTGTCACGCTTGACTCACGTCAAGCCACACTTCTCGGTCACGTGACCGATGACGCTCATAAACAAAACGCTGAAGCCCGCAAAATGAGTAAAAAAGCTGCTTGGAGATCGCAAATGAC